TGGTAAATGAATGGTCCATGTGCACCTGGAATTGGCCTCAAAACTTGGAAGTACCTTTTCCTTCCCATCTCCTAATTTTGTGGAAATCACCAGCAAAAGAGATGAGCTTGGCTGAAAACCTCTCTTAGCAGAGCGATTGGGCTCCTACCACTACATGSGATGACCATCCTCAATGGTCATCCATATCATGACCATCCTCTTCCTTTCCAAAATTTCATTAGGCAAAAGAGGGGGAGTGGGATGTACTACTGAGTCTCCTTGATACCTCCCTACCAAAGCCCTGTAGGAAAAGCCAAGCTCAGGAATTGGTAGGGAACAACACCACAATTGGATCTGCTTTCAGTTTTGTGCTGTAGGATGGGTTGAAGTCTACCAGAGGAGAACCTGCGACTACATGACACATATAATGTTTATGAGCCCAGGCTATTTAAACTCTAAAACATTAAGTAAATCTTGCATAGAATCTTGCTGAATGCAGTAGATAGCTGAAAATAAAGAACTTGTCCCTTCTCTTTTTAAATGGGAGGATATTAAGGGGTGACAGATGATCAAGCTGGGCTTTTAGGACAGTTTTTTAAAAAGATTAGCTCTTCTTTTATTATGGAAGTCAGTAGGATTTTCTGCTCTTTATAAACTGGCACGACCAAGAGTTTCTATGAATGTGGGGAAGAAGAGTCCCCCTCAACCACATTCCTCCGCATCGGACATGACGGCCCTGATTTAAGATTGTGAAATTACAACTAGAGCCAGGAAAGGCCAAGAGATTTCCCATCATGTTACCTAGGGCACCTCTAGCTGGCTGTAGGGAGCAACTTGAGGACTGTGTGATTAAATTCTGACGCTCACAGACCACCTTCATTAACCGCCGCTTTTCGGGCCCCTACTTGGTACCAGAGCAGCTTGGTGGCTCTCCAAAACTTGGAGAGCTGGTTGGACTGCACTCGGTGCTGCCTTCGCTTCAGTAACTGCCAGCCCAGGCAAGGCTTTCTGAAAAAAAAAACCTTCTTGAGCTACGTATCCACATAGAAATGGTTCTTTCCAAAGACACCTGACAACTTGTTCCTCCATAAGGTGGGACCTCTCCTTCAGAAGGTAGAGGTCTATTCTGGAATACTGTTGTTTTTGTAGAAAGTGTGTGTTTTTCATTGGGAATGGGATGCTTCTGTTCCTGAAAGCTTTCATTTTACTCCTCTAAAAGCCAGCCTTTCGTTATTTTAAATAAAGTTTTAGAGATGAAAGAGGCCTGGACAGTGATCCCTCAAGCCAACCTCTATAGTTGCGTGCACCTAACACAGAACCAGCTTCAATATCACAGTCGCGACTGCCCCTTCAGGAGATCGGTGACCACCCGACACGAGCTGCTTTCTCCCTTCCACCTCCTGCTGCTCGAGCATCACGAACTGCCCCAGGAGTTCGGCAGTTCTCCCTCATGTTCTAGGAAAATTTAGGCTCAAAGGATTCAAATTTCAATTGCCATAGTCTGCACAAAAGCCACCACTGCACTGCAAATCATGCATCTACTGAGCTAGTTATCAACAAGCAGAAGCCTCCAACATGACCATACTCAACCATCTGATACAAGTCAGTCAACTATCTGCTTTTAAGGGGAGAAATGCCAAAAAATAATTTCCTTACTACTTCTTCTTTTCCTAATTCACTTCCTCTAAAGAAAAAGAAAGCCTAAATGATGGTCATAAAGCATTTTTGGATTAATGCAGTTAAAAATATCTATTCCCCATCTGTTTTGTGATTCACCCTTTTCCAAATATCTAAGAAGCCCCATTCGTGAAATCCTGTGGTAAAGGACCAGCACGGGGACAGAAATTATCAGTTTGAAAATAAACACTGATGGGATTTTTGGTTTGATTTTTTTTTTTTGAATTTTTTTCAATCAGAGCACTCATAAACATCGTAGGCTGGAGGAGAGAAGTTCAATTGAGAAGTGACACTCAAAGACAGTCAAAGACAAGACAAGTGAGCACGTTTGCCGAGAAACCAGAAATCCTTGGCAGGATTTCAGAGACAAAGACCACACAGACTCAAGGAGGTCACAGATTTTCTGCAGGACACAGTCACTCCCACAGCAAATCCACCACCAGTTTGCTCTCGTAGAGGATCAGGAACAACAGGTAAATGCCATGTGGCTTGTCCACTTCCTAAGTTGCCATGAAAACATTTGCTGTAGGAGATTTCACCCTCTCCATGAGTTGGATAACAGCTGAAGGGGATCTGAAACCCCAACTTCACGTAGCTCTACCAGGCTCCACTCATCTCACTCACAGCTGGCACTAAAAATACACAGAACTGGGAAGCAGCAAGTTAAGGCATCAGAGGAGTGGTCTCAGGATGCAGACCATGACAGGGAGGGAGGGAGTGAGGGAGGGAGGGAGGGAGGGATGGATGGATGGATGGATGGATGGATGGCCCCATTCTACAGAGTCAAGGCCTTCCCTGAAGAAGCTACTGATGGGAAATACTTCCTCATCCTGGGCTCAAGTTCTGTGCTGGCTCAAGGTGCTGCTTAAGCCACCACTTGAGCAGGTTTCCTCCCAGATGTCTTTCAGGCTACAGAAACTACTTGGACAACTTGAAACACAGCATCTGCCCCAAAACTGTCAATCTTCCATGTTTTTTTTCTCTTCTTGTCCCCTTAACCTGCTCACATCACCTCATGCAACAGCCAGTGGCCTTGAGGGAAGGCCACCTGGGACAACCCCACACAAGGCTGTGCCTGCACCACCAAAACAAGCACATTTCATCTCCAGCACTGGGAAAACATTTTCTAACACAGACATCACCTGCCTACCTGAAGCCTTTTACCTGCTTTTAATTGAGCTTGATGGGAGTTCTTCCCCCATCTTAGAGGAAGGTAAGAAAAGAGCTCCAAGGAAGGACCAAGGTCTAGGGGGCCTTGTTCAAACTGCACAGCTAAGTTGCTTTGACACTGGGTACCGAGTGTKTACAGAAACAACTATTTTTTTCTTCCTTTTTGCTGTTAATCTCTTTTATTTCATTGTTTTTTTTTTCTATATTAAGCCTRTGGGAAAGCTACAAACCAGCCCATCAGAAGAGCGGATCAGAGGACAAYGTGGCTTGGCCACAGGGAAAGGAGATGTGACAGAGCTAGGGGGAGGATCAGCAACTGTGTCCAAAGCAGCATCTCTGGAAGGACTATGGGGCTTCCAGAGCAAAGAGGCCACTGCAGATGAGGCCTCCCTTGGCTGTCCCCTGCAAGAATATGAGAGACAGCAACAACTGTGGAGGCCTCCTGAGAACTTCACTCTTGGATGCGCTACCAGCAGCTTTTTAGTCTCAGAAGTATTAAAATACAAGCAAACAACCAAAACCCACACAAGAAAACCCAAGGGGTTRTAATGAGAGAAAGGCAGAGCATGAGAAAGATCCCGCTTGAATCATCCGCTGTCGCAAGCCATACYGAGGACACGAACTAGACCCGGAATAACCTGCAGAACAAGGTCCACCCTTGTGGTCCTGACACCCCTAGGCAGCCACACGTTCACCCTTGTGCTTCAATTGCCTCCTTTCTTTGGCATCGCTCGCCCCATGCCCTGAAGGGGTGGGAAATGATCCCGACGACAGCAATGGAGGGATAAAGAACAGGGATCGAGAGATGCGTGGTGCAGCACGTACATACGGTACCTGCCAAACTGTTAGCAGTTGTTTATTGGTTGGCAAACACGCGTCGCTTTTACAACAGGTATTAGTAAAGGAGGTCATCTGGCTTCTGTGACCGTACAAAACGGATCATAAATTAAAAAAAGGGAAAAAAAAAAGAAAAAAAGAAATCATAATCCATGCTGCTACCTTACCTCTGGAAAAGCCTATGTTACTTAAAAACCTGCCAAATAAATAAGTTTCCTGTTAGGAAAATAACAAACAGAAGACTACTATATATATATTTTTTTCTCCTGAATCACTGCAAAATTGCAAAATTCTTGTTTTTTTGCTTTAAGCTCCCTACGAGTCAAGCCATTTTCTTCTCGACCACGGCAGCGCCGGAGCCGCGCCGGCCTTGCGGGAGCCCAAGCGCCGCGACGAGGGCACGAGGGACCGCGGGGCTCCCCGAGGCGGCCCCAGACGCTTATCCTGGCCCTGCAGACACAGAAYGTGGCCCTTGCTCCAGTCTGGAGGAGGAGGAGCGAGAGGCGCCGAGGTGAAAGACTCCGCGAAAACAAGCTGCCATCGCGCTTCTAAGAACGGCCTCTACAAAGCGACGGTCTTGTCTTTTTTTTCGGTATTTTTCTTCTTTTTAGCCCACCGAGACTGTTTACCGGGACGGGAGGGAGAGGGAAGGGCAGGGGAAGAGGTAAACAAACAAATAAAAAATAGAGAATAAAACAATTAAAAAAGAAAAATAAAGGGTGTTACCAAAAAAAAAAAACCTTGCTCCTACCGGTAGACAAACTTACAAGACCAACACAACAGAAAAAGTTCTTTTTTTTTTTTCTTTTTTTTTTTTTTGTTTCCACTACATTAACAGGGACGCAAGTTCTGGAGGAACAGAAAGCAGACTATATGTGCAATGCTAGTATCTGTACAGTACAGAGAAACCGTCCGGCTTATTATTATTATTTTTTTCTCCTTTTTCTGCCATTAGTTTTTTTTTTCCTTTTTTTTTCTTCTTCTTCTTTATCATCAGTTAATACAGCAAAACAGAAAATACCCAGTCACGTAACCCCTAGGACTCGCTGGCCGCCCACCCCGCCGCCGCGTGACCTGCTGCGTTTGCCGGGGGGGCTTCCGATTTTTTGGCCTTTTTTTTTTCTTTTTTTTAAATCAGGTCCTCATTATTAAGAGCAACACAGCATCAAGGATTTTTTTTTCTTTTTTTTTTCTTATTTTTTAAAACAAACACAGCGTTAAGTTGTGGAAGGCCGCGAAGGGCGCCGCTATCCGTCACAGCGCTCTCATTAACACAATGAAGTCTGTCTGTCTGTCTGGAGGGAAGGTGGGGAGGAAGGGGAGGAGAAAACAAAACAAAAAAACAGGGGTTGGTTGGGGTGGAGGGGTTGGGGATGAGCAGTTACTCGTCTCTTCGGGCTGGCCTAAAAATTATTCCGGTAAAAAAAGTCCGAGAGTTTCGCTTGCTTGGGAATCGGCGTTGGAGCACGCGCCACTTCCCACGGCTCGGCCCGGCTCCGGAGCCGAGCGCCGCGGAGCCGAGTAGGGGGGCATCTTCCTGCCGGCGGCCTCCGCTTGGGCCTCTATAGGCTGGTGACCAAGTGAGCGGGTCCCTTGGCGGGGCCGTCCGGGGGCGTCCCGTCCTTGCTCGGCGGGACTATGAAACCGTCGCTGCTGCCTCGCCCCAGCTGGTAGTACGTGTGGAGCTGCTGGACGTGGTTCCTGGAGCCCAGGTTCGGCATGCTTTTGTAGTAAACGTCATCGGCGTCACCGCCCTTGGCCGCCGGCGGGTCGGTCTGGGTGCTGGCGGTGACGCTTTCTGTCCCGGGCATGCCGGCCAGGGCGGGCATACTGGTGTAGAGAGAATCCCTGTTGGGCGACTGCGGCTCGTCCGTGTGCTCGTTGGTCAGCAAGGGGAAAAAGCTCTCGCTGTTGTCCTGCGGGATGCGCCGCCGCGCGTAGAGCTGYGCCGGGTGGCTCTCGGCCGCGTACGCGCGCGGCGGCAGCAGCGGCGCGTCCGACTCCTCGTGGATGAGCTCCAGGCCCAGGCCCTCCTCGTGTGTGAAGGAGGTGGCGTCGTCCAGCACGATGGCGTCGTCCTCGCCGCCCACGCTGTTGACRAGCTTGTTCATCAGGTTGCGGCTCTGCTCGCTGGAGCGCTCGTGGCTGTTCAGGTAGGAGGGGATGTAGTTGGAGGTGAGTTCCTTCAGGATCTTCTTCTCGAGGGCGTTCTCGGTGTGGTTGTAGCCGCGGTCGAGGATTTGCACGCAGTTGCTCAGGTACTCGCCGCTGGCGATGCTGTAGCTGTTGCCGTGATTACCATTCAGTGGTAGAGTATCCGTGACACTTGTATCCCTGGCATTGTTCAGAAGCCCCTCTGAAAAACATCACACAAGACAGGGTGACTCGTACACGCGGCACGCTCACGCGGCACCGGCCCGCGCCGAACCCCCCGCCTGGGCTGCCGCCCAGCGCGCTGGCCTGCGCCCGCCGGGGTCAACGCCTTCCCGCCGGGAAGACGGGAACCCACCACCAAGCGCTGCCAACGGCTGGCCAGGAGGAGGAGGAGGAGGAGGAAGGGCGTCTCGCCCCCCTGGTTTTCCTCTTGCTATTGCTGCTTCCAAAGACTCGTGGCGGGGGCGCTATATATTCCTTGGGGAGCTGCGAAAAGTGCTGAGCCCRAGCTGGTCCAAACTCTGCCACCAGTCCAAACGGTCCTACCTGGAGTCCCGAGGCTCGGATAATCCATCCCAGGTGAGGACCAGCCTTTGCAGAACGCAGTAATGGCTCCCACTGCTGCGTCTGGGGGGGACTGCATCCTTACTCACTTGGAAGGGGGAACCAACTCCACTCACCTTTTTTTCGCTTTGGAGCCCACCAGAGGACGGGCGTAAGCTCCAAAGGGAAAATATGGGGATTGGCTCAAGCATCCTTGCAATGGATGGAGGCTCAAGGTGCCTTTTTGGAGCTACATTCCATGCCACACAAGGGCACGGCTAAAATCACTGGTTTGATACGGGCCAGGGGGGAAATTTTGCCATATATCCAGTGCTGGAGATGGCTGATACAAGCCTTTAAAAACTATAGCTTCCTTTTCACGTGGGGCATTAAAACACGAGGTTCAATGGAAGGCAGGACAAGTACTGTTAAGTGCAAKGGAAAGGGCAGATGCTGGGGATGTGCCGAGAGCGGCACCTCTTGGTTKAGTCCCTCCCCACCTCGCCTGCCCCTTGGGCAAACGCTCGCACAAGGAATATATATAGACACCTCCAGCCACAGAAACGAGACCTTTGGATGTTAGCAACACAGGGGCCGGGCTGCTGGGCTTGAGCGGCCTCCTTGCATTTCCATGGGCATCCTGGCATGGCTGTCTTCAGCCTGGAGCTCGATTCTTCTCTCGCTCCCAGGACCATGGAGAAACGCTTGGACTGCAATGCAGCATCAGCGTGTGAGGAGGAGAAAATCAGGCCTCAGGAAAGTTAAACCACCATGCTTGCTTGCTTTTTGGGCTTTTTTTTTTTTTGGCTTTTGGATTACTGGCCTCCTAAGAATGAGCACAAACATGAGGACGCATGAAACGCTCCAATTTTCAGCTAAGGACTTCCAGGGCTGCACGAAAACACAAGCAGCCCTGTCGCTCGTGCAGYGGTGGCTCCGAGGAGCCCTTAGCTGACAATTCAAGACTGCCGGTTGCTGGTATCAAGCAGGGAAAATGCCGGGAATGTTGCTAGCACACCGCCGAAAATACCGTATTCGGTCTATATCTGCAATGCAGTGTTGCAGCGCATCAGCRTTTGCTCTCCTTTGGAGCACAACGCCCTGGAAATGTCTTCTGCATTTTGGATTTTGGATGCTCGGGGAGCGTCGGCAGCGCCACGGGCTCCCAAACAGGCACGGGAGCCATGGGTAATGTCAAGTTGCCGTCACAGATATAGAGCAAAGCCGTTTATTTTCGTGGGGGAAGGTCTCCAGACGAGCCACAATGTTGGGAGGATAAATGAAAAGTGAGGGGTGTTTTTCCAGGGGGCTGGATGCAATGAGTGGCGGGTACAACAGGCTCTGTCCGATGGTCGTGTTGAGCAACATGCATTGGCGCACTGTGCGCTGTTTCTGCTGCCAATGCATAGAAAAGGAGGCGGGGAGGTAGCTAAGAAAGAAAGAAAAAAAAAAAACCAAAAAACAGATGCATTGCACTTGAAAACAGGGTGGTTTCAGTAACGAAATACGCCACATAAAAATGCTATGACCTTGCAAATAAAAATGCCAACTTGGAAAACGATTTCAACTCATACGCACAGTTATATGAGAAACTACTTTGGGAAAACAATACCACAAAAACAAGAAATAAACAAAGAAAGAATCATCTAATCTTATATCTATCTATATATATATATGTAGCCATACATATATATATATATACACACACACATACACGTATAATATATACATATGTATATCCATATGCTTCTTATTCTTTGGATTTCAAAATTGTGAGATGAATTTCCTTTATTAACTACATCATCTATATGTGATGCAATAAAAGTGAACTAAAAAAAATTACATTTGATATGCAATGTTTAGCTTTACTCCCATACTTGTCTCTCTGTAGGGCTCTAAACGACAGCATGAAGAAAAGGAAAGAAAAAACAACAAGTAAGCTTACAGCGACAGTAGGAGAAACATGAGTAAAAAGCAAATTGATGATATGCAGAAAAAGAGAGTTAAACGGAAATAATTTCCACTGCCCAGAATACATGTATTTGTTACATGGTTTATTTCAGGTTAAAAAATAATATTGACATTTTAGACAGAAAATTACTTTACGCACAATATTAAAGAGGCTACATTTTTATTAAAAAGAAAAAAAGAAAAAACACATTTAAAACTTTTTCCAATGCCACTGTAAAACGTTCAGAGTGCAACACAAATCAAGACAGAAAGCCTGGAAATTTAGGAGAGTCTAGAGCCATAATGGTCATGCTTCAAAAGACAGGCACTGTCAGTGTCATTTCCACAGTCTTAAAATGAATGGCTTTACTTACTGTTAGTTATAATAACCCCTGGCAGTTGAAATTGAAATCCATTTCCTTGCTAAAATGTTTGGCCGTCCATCCTTTGCAACAGTGCTTTGTAAGAGTACGCCTTGGCTCATCACGGGGCTGCCGGCACGTGCACATTTTGCAAGGAATCCTTGCCTTTTTTTCCTTTCTCTCTTTACCCAAGCGCATGGAAAACTACATGGGCTTTGCAAACAAAGGTGAGAAAAACAGCAGCTCAAACAATGGCATCTCTACATGAAGCTATCGAGGAGGAAGGGTTTAAGAAAATAATTAAAAAATAATAATAATAAAAAAAAGAAGAGCCAATGATGAAGATGGAGAGCTTTCAACTTCCCACTTTGCTTTGGTTTGTGGCGTGCTGCTGCGTGAACAGAGCTGGTTAGTGCTTTCCTTCTTCTGCTCAGGTTAGCCTTGGTGGCAGCGGTGGGGCTCTTGGCAGAGASACTTGGGGTCACATCCTCAGTCCTCCTACGCTTGGGAACGGCCTCCGGCGAAACTCAAGTCACCGCCAACACGCCGGAGGTGGTAGGTGAAGGTGCAAAAAGACCGGAGCCTTGGGAATGCAGGATGCATCAGTTGGGTGATGGTGGCCAGCGCGTCCTCACGGCCCGCCAAGCCCAGGCGAGGCAAGCCCGGAGATGGGGACAGGGTCTACTTTTACAATGCACTATTACTGCGTCAGCCTGAAGCCCCAAGGAACCCGCACGGCCCTYCAAGACCCGTTGTTTTCGCTAACCTTGGTTTCTGCAGGGGCATCTCCTCTTAATTCACCATCGTCACAGCAAATCCTCCTTCAAGGCCCGTATGCAGTTTGGAAAGCAAAAGCTCTACCACATCTAGGGTCGTTCATCACCTTGCGGCCTCCCCCAGAATAACGGGGCTGATTCTGCTGCCTCTGAGGTCAATGGCAAAGCTCCAGTGTCTTACATGGCATCRGTGCTGCTCCCCTTTCCTTTAATCTCCAGGGGATGAAGAAAGGGCGGGTTTCTCTGTTAACCACCCGGCTGTGTTGCACTCAAGAGCAGCTTAAAATCAACACCACCATTTGTGAAATAATGTGCTATTCACTCAGCTCATTCTACCACAATCCAGACTTAAAACTACAAGAATGCAAGATTATTAAATGCACATAAGAGCTTTTTCCCTTTTTCTTTTTCTTTTTTTTTTTTTGGTCACATTTCAGCCCAGGTCACCTTTGTTCACTTGAGTCACACAGGCTTCAAAAGGAGGACTGATCTTAAGCCAAACACTGACCCCCCGTTACCTGCTGCCAACRGACTGAACAGCCCCACTGCATTTTAAGCAGTGAGGTTACCTCTAGAAGACCAGCTGCCCTCTCTAACAGGTAAGCTGCTCTCTTACTTCTCCACCAAGAAATCTCAGCATTGTCAGGCAGGAAGATCTACGGAAGACCAAGAGCTGGGTTCAACATTTGCGTCCCCCTCAAGGTCTTTATGGCCAGAGCTTTCATGCTTAACCATCACCCCTTTAGGAAAGCATTAGCAGGATGGAATTTATTTGCACACCGTTAGCATAGTTTAGGAAATTAAACGAACAGCAAAAAAGGTCAGATACAGACGTTTCCTGGCAGTTTGAATGAAAATGCCCTCGTGATACAGCCCAGGATCTAGSTCTCCTGACAACAGCATGGAGCGTGCATAGCCCAGGCTTGGCTTTCCTGGGAAGGGAGCCCTGGATTGGGAGCAGGGACTGACATGTCCACACTTTCCCCAACTTTTTTTTTTTTTTGCTGTTTAATAGCACATGTGAAAATGCATTAATGCAAATGGCCAAACATTTATTAAAAAAGTCTGAACTCCCTGGAACCGACCTACGCTCCTTACTTGAGATGCCCTTTTCTCCCTAGAGATGAAGGGTGCGTTTGCCTTGCGTGGCTTTTCCCTTGCCCCACCGGTGGCAGACGCTCTGGGACACCATTGCTGAGCACATTTCTACATGGCACGTCAAACACAGAGCAACGTTGGTGTAAGCTTCACTTACCTTCAGAGCACGTGTTCCTGGTTCTGAAATGAATGATTGAACAAGGAAAAGGTGCTGACAACAGAGAGAGAGATGGATACAGCCAACAAAATACACACAGAAACACCAAAACGATTCAAAACCAAGGAGATTCAGGGAAAAAAAAAAAAAAAAAAGAAATCAAAACCACTATGAATGCTTTGAGCAGAACTGATGGTGGTATCTCAAAGCGGACTTGATTGCTCATGGAAAAAAGCCTACGGAAAATGGAAAAATGCACCGAAATGAAAAGAAGGGAGGATCATTTTTGTGCCCACTTCCACGAACAAAACAAAAC